AAATTGTTATTGTTTTTGTATTTTTGTCTAGACAGTTTTTCCCCATTTCCCCCTTCCCACCCAACATTCCGAAGTCGACCAAATAAAATAATATAAAATGTGAGCCATAAGCAGCTGTGTTTTTCTTTGCTTTCCTTTTACAATTTTTCGTCATTGTTTTGTCTAGCCGGCCGATAACAAGGATGCCACATTTGAAGAAATATTTTTGGAGGGATTTATAAATATATATATTTTTACAAGGACTCTTAATAGAGCAGATTTTCAAAAGAATATTTTTGGTAATGCGTGGATTTATTAAAGATTTTTTTTAAGGATCTACAGAAACGTGGATTTTTTTAAGATTTTTGTTCGTGGGCCTACAGAAACGTGGATTTTTTTAAGATTTTTTTTCGTGGACCTACAGAGGCGTGGATTTTTTAAACAATAGATTTGAGAGCCTTCAGAGGCGTGGATTTTTTAAAAATTATTTTTTCAAGGGCCTTCAGAGGCGTGGATTTTTTAAAGATTATTTTTTCAAGGGCCTTCAGACGAGTGGATTTTTTAAAGATTATTTTTTCAAACGCCTTCAGAGGCGTGGATTTTTTAAAGAGTATTTTTTCAACGGCCTTCAGAGGCGTGGATTTTTTAAAGATTATTTTTTTAACGGCCTTCAGAGGCGTGGATTTTTTAAAGATTATTTTTTCAACGGCCTTCAGAGGCGTGAATTTTTTAAAGATTATTTTCTCAGGCGCCTTCAGAGGCGTGGATTTTTTAAAGATTATTTTTTCAACGGCCTTCAGAGGCGTGGATTTTTTAAAGATTATTTTTTCAACGACCTTCAGAGGCGTGGATTTTTTAAAGATTGTTTTTTCATACGCCTTCAGAGGCGTGGATTTTTTAAAGATTATTTTTTCATACGCCTTCAGAGGCGTGGATTTTTTAAAGATTATTTTTTCATACGCCTTCAGAGGCGTGGATTTTTTAAAGATTATTTTTTCATACGCCTTCAGAGGCGTGGATTTTTTAAAGATTATTTTTTCATACGCCTTCAGAGGCGTGGATTTTTTAAAGATTATTTTTTCATACGCCTTCAGAGGCGTGGATTTTTTAAAGATTATTTTTTCAAGGACCTAGAGAAACGTGGATTTTTTAAAGATTATTTTTTCAAGGGCCTTCAGAGGCGTGGATTTTTTAAAGATTATTTTTTCAGTCCATGCTAAATTGTAAACAAAGTACAGGTCTCATTTATGATCCGAATTGGATGAAATTTGGCACAGGTCATTTGTTTGGCCAAGGACGAAACCTATTGAAATTGGGAAAAATCGGTTCAGATTATGGTAAGATTCGATTTAAGGTAAATGGTATACCAAAGTCCCTAGAATGATGTGGGCAAAGTTTCGTGAAAATCGGTTCAGATTTAGATATAGCTCATATATATAGTTTCGCCCGATTTTAGGTAAATAGTCCACTAAAGTCCCTAGAAATCTTTGGATTTGCACGAATTTTGGCACAGCGTAATGAATAAGGTCTAGAATGATGTGTGTTATGTTTCGTGAAAATCGGTTCAGATTTAGATATAGCTTCCATATATATCTTCGTTCGATTTAATGTAAATGGTGCACCAAAGTCCCTATATATCTTTCGATTTTCACGAAAGTTGGCATAGCTTACTGAATTAAGTATAAAATGATGTGTGCAAAGTTTCATGAAAATCGGCTCAGATTTAGATATAGCTCCCATATAGTTTCGCCCGATTTTACGTAAATAGTGCACTAAAGTCCCTGGAAATCTTTTCATTTCACGAATTTTGGCATAGCATACTGAATTAAGTATCGAATGATGTCTGCAAAGTTTCGTGAGAATCGGTTCAGATTTAGATATTGCTCCCATATATATTTTCATCCGATTTAAGGTAATTGGTGCATCAAAGTCTCTGAAAATCATTCGATTTGCACGAATTTTGGCACAGCGTAATAAATTAGATCTAGAATGATGTGTGCTAAGTTTCATGAAAATCGGTTCAGATTTAGATATAGCTCCCATATATATCTTCGTCCGATTTATGTTAAATGGTGTACCAAAGTCCCCATATATCTATCGATTTGCACGAAATTTGGCATAGCGTACTGAATTGCGTCTATAATAATGTGTGCTAAGTTTCATAAAAATCGGTTCAGATTTAGATATAGCTCCCATACATATCTGCGTCCGATTTAAGTTAAATGGTGTACCAAAGTCCCCATATATTTTTCGATTTGCACGAAATTTGGCATAGCGTACTGAATTGCGTCTTTAATAATGTGTGCTAAGTTTCATAAAAATCGGTTAAGATTTAGATACAGCTCCCATATATAGTTTCGCCCGATTTTAGGTAATTGGTGCACCAAAGTCTCTGAAAATCACTCGATTTGCACGAAATTTGTCATAGATTACTGAATTAAGTCTAGAATGACGTGTGCTAAGTTTCGTGAACATCGGTTCAGATTTAGATATAGCTCCCATATATATTTTCGTCCGATTTTATGTAATTGGTGCACCAAAGTCTATTAGGATACATCCATGCTGGGATTGTTATATACATAATTGTACGTAAATACATAGCCTGTTTATATATTTATGTAATCTTGAAAACTACTCTTTCAAGTTCAAGGGGATTACATTGAGAACATTGTATCTATGTACTTAACAGCAGACAGCAGAGTATTTCTCCGTAGCAGATAGAAAATCCAATAAGATGCGAATCTTTTCAAAGTTCAAAAACTTAAACCGCCAAAATGTGTAAAGCTCAGCACAGAACAGCAGAGCACAGCGAAGACAGAATGGGCAGACAGACAGACGACGATGCTCCAGCCAGCCAACCAGCCACCCAACAACGATGAGCAGATTAGTTAAGTTGACTGTAATGGGGGTCTTAAGACACAGCTGGACTCGACCACCACCACCACAAAGCAATGGAACAAAGCTCACCATTGTGTGGCAGCAGCTGCAGCAACAGGGAAAATATAAAAGCAGATTACAAATTGCATAAATAAAATTCATTAATAATTTTGCTTTTGCTTCGCCTTCATTCTTTCCTTTTGGTTGTTTGCTTGTATTGCAATAATTATTATTATTATTGTGTGTGTAAATTATTTTTTTTTTAATTCTTAAGGGACACCTTCACACTTTGGATATAATCTACATATGTATCCTAACAGATGTCGCCTTTTCGAAGGAACATTGACATGAAATTGAACAAACTTAAAAATGTGATCTTTATTTCTATGTAAACCGACTAAGATCAATCCCTACAAATGCCATTCTGCAACCTATGCTAAATTTTGTTAGCATGAATAGGTCGGAATTATATATGGAAGCTATGCTATATCTAAATCTGAATCGATTTTCACCAAAGTAAAGACCCATAGTGCAAGTAAATGGTGCACTATGGGTCTTTACTGCACCATTTACATAAAATCGGACGAAAATATATATAGGAGCTACATGAAAATCTGAATCGAAGTCAAGAAAACTTGACACACGTAAGGTTATACTAAATTTAGTACATTGTACAAAATTGTGTGCGAATCGGTCAAACTTTGTGTCCTTAGTGCACAATTTACGTAAAATCAGAAGAAAACATATATGGGAGCTACATTTAAATCTGAACCGATTTTCACCAAACTTGACCCACGTCATTCTAGACCTAAGTCAGTACGCTGTGCCTAATTTCTTGCAAATCAAAGGATATATAGGGAATTTGGTGCACAATTTACATAAAATCGGACGAAAAATATATGTGGTAGCTATATCTAAATCTGAACCGATTTTCACAACATTTAACAGGCATCGTTCTAGACTTAATTTAGTACGTTATACATAATTTTGTGCAAATCGAAGGATACATAGGGACTTTGGTGCACCATTTACCTATAATCGGACGAAAATATATATGGCAGCTATATCTAAATCTGAACCGATTTTCACAAAATTTAGCACACATCGTTCTAGACTTAATTAAGTACGGTATGCAAAATTTTGTGCAAATCGAAGGATATATAGGAACTTTGGAGCACCATTTACCTATAATCGGACGAAGATATATGAGGGAGCTATATCTAAATCTAACCCGATTTTCACAAAATTTAGTACACATCATTCTAGACTTAATTCAGTACGTTGTGCCAAATTTCATGAAAATCGTAGGATATATAGGAACCTTGGTGCACTATTTACATAAAATCGGACGAAAATATATATGGCAGCTGACTTTTGTGTGAAAAATTACAAAATTTGTATTCTATTTCGTATATGTTTACTCCCGAAGGACAAAGACCCGAGAAGTTGATAGTATATTCAAGAGGAGTGGTAGACCTTTAAATTGATACCAATTATATCGTCGTATGTACTCGGATGTGGAAGTTACACTTAAATATTTACAGGTGCTTACGTATTCATATATTATTTAGTAACCCATTACCACACTAGTAGGCGGAAATATAGCGCTGATCGCTTCGTCATTTTCTATGAGGATTCAGGTATGATCAAGGATAATGCCTATAATTTTCGTTGACGATCAGATAATAATTTTGGGGTGAGGTGGGCTGAAAACTTAATTTTTTATGTTTTTTTTTCGAGTCGATCTATAGGCCACAATTGAAAGCCGAACATCACAACACAACCGATGGTGAGGGGGATATGGACAAATAATTAGAAGGACTGTACTGAATATTAGTAATTTTCGGAAAATGTGTCAGTGTAAGGAAGAGGTGCTGCGTTGACCTCTAATCGCTCATGAGGGTGCAACTATCACGAAATATTGTCCAGGCTCGGAATATACGCAGAGAGTTATTCTTCCGTGGTAGTTGTGTAGGGTATCGTACGGTCGGCTCCGTTCGACTATGTTGTTCCGCTGACTTGTTTTAAAATAATATTTTTAATGCAGTAAACGATTGAAACATTTTCAGTTTTACTTCTGCATCGTAATTCGGTTCTAAAAACCCCCTAAATTTATTCGTTTCTACAAAATTTTCATTTTATATTTAGTTAAGAAAATTGATCAACATCATTGTCATGGTGTAGATCATTTTCGTCAATTGCAGGCCGGTATTCATGGTTAGGGGAATGACAGCGCCAATGGTTAGACCGCCAGCATTTTGAGACATCATTAACATCATCAGTAGCATTTTCCTCTCCGCCACCGGCAGTCTATACCAAATTACTTCCGTGTAACAGGAATCGATAAAGCCATCGTTCTGTAAAAAGAGAAATAAATAGCAAATAAAAAAATATATGAATAATAATTATTATTATATACACATATGCCTATAGGCTATTATTATTCTTTGTCTGCCGAATTTGACTCCTACCTGCATAGTTCTGTTTCGAATATACTTACGGATATTTCTATCACGGTACCCACACCACAATAGATATATAACATAATGAAGCAGTACACCAAATAGGTTTGGCCACCCGGCCATTTGCCCAATATCAGGCAGAACAAAGTGCATGCCAAGCTTAGAGAAATTGTTGCAAATTGTACCAAAATTACCCAAAAATAGTTGTCCTTAACGGTGGTTATGTATCTACGTGTATAATGGATTAATTTACATTACCACACCCCGCAACAATACCATCGCAAACCAAATTACCTCATATAATTTTGATGCCACCGAAGTATGTCCTTCAGCAATTCTCTACAATTTGGATGACCTTCGTCTACCGCTTCTAGTGCGACATTCAGATCATGAAATTTACACAATAAAATATCCTTGAACAGGGGCACATGACTAACCAAGGTAACGAAACAATTGTCCGCTGCAAAGTTGCCAAATGCTCCAAATAAAATACAACAACAATGCATAAAATTCATGATAATATAACCATGATTGGTGTTCGGATCGATGCCCGGCAAAAGGAATTGCATTACAAAGATTCGGCGATTAAAGACAATGCGATAGAAGGGCACTATTCCAATAACACCCACAATGACACCAGCATATAACACAGCCATCGATTTAATACATTTATCTACGGTATTTATGCTCTTGTTCAGGCATTTGCGATATTCCTCATGCTTACGATCGTATTCCATATAGATGTCTTCCACTTCGTAAAGTAATTCACACAGATATTTTTTATTCCAAATGGCATTCAAAAGTTTGCAATAGCCCTGGAAGAGAAATGAACCGCCCAACCCCCCAAACAAATGAAGGAAATTTGTGTTTTTCTATTAGCTACCCTCACCTGCACGGCACTACCAACCATACACAAGGCCTGCAACACATTGGTCCATTCTCCTTCCACATACAGATTCACATAGATCGTATAGCCAGTGAAGATATAAAACATATTTATGAACGCTATAACAATCCACGTCAGCAGATTCATTTTGTAATCCGGCTGCAGAATATCTGCACCACAAAATGCAGCGCAAATACGCAATAGGCGAATAATTACTTTGTAACGTTGCACCACTGTTCTGGCCATGTCGTATTCGCGTTAATGCAAAGGTTTGAATGTCAAAGAAGAGTGTGGCCGAAAATCAAAATTAGCCCTGCTTTCTGTGAAATAAACGGCAATTGTAATATTTGAGTGACAGCCTTTGATCTATCGATTTGATATGCGGTTGATGTGGTAATTACAGTATGATACAATTGCATACTAGTAAAATGAAAAAAATAAACCCTTTTCCTTTTTATCGTCCCTAGAGAAGGCAATTAATTCATTAGGGCCCACAGTTTGCCTATGGGAAACCCTCCCTCAGCTTTTTAGCATGCGCATTCGAGACACTCCTCAGTTCATCTATTAAAAAAAAAAACCCTTTCATCTGACTGGGAGACTCTAGTTTATACCAAATGACTTGAGTGTAGCAGGAATCGATGAAGCCATCATTCTGAAAAGTGGTAAAAATAAATTAATGATTACAATATTTTCTTTCTATTTTTCAATCCCCGGAGTTTTTTAATGGTCCCACAAAGAATATATCTTATATGTGTATCATGTATCCTTCATGTTCTAGTTGGTCGTAGCTTGCGACGACCCTGATCCTTTGACCACTGTGAACAGGCCACAGTATATGTACAACATCATAAAACAGTAACACAGATATGTCACACCTCCCGGCCATGTACCCAAAAGTAAACAGAATAGAGTTGAGGCGATACTCAAGCCAAATGTCACCATTTCGACCAACAGGACCCAAAAGTAATTAGACTTAACAGTTGCGATATATCTAAAAAAACACAAAAAAAAACATTAAGGAAAGTAGTAAAGTCGGACGGGGCCGACTATATGATACCCTTCACCAAATTTCGTGCAAATCGAACTTTATATAGGGACTTTGGTGCATCATTTACATTAATTACTTTAGTTGACTATTTACCTAAAATCGGGCGATCTGAACCGATTATCACGAAACTCTGCACACATCATTCTAGACTCAATTCAGTACGTTGTGCTAAATTTCGTGCAAATCAAAGGCTATATAGGGACTTTGGTGCACCATTTATATAAAATCGGACGAAAATATATATGGGAGGTATATCTAAATCTGATCCGATTTTCACGAAACTCAACACACATCTTTCTAGATTTAATTCAGTACGTTGTGCTAAATTTCATGAAAATCGAAGGATATATAGGCACCTGGGTGCACTATTTACCTAAAATCGGACGAAAATATATATGGCAGCTATATCTACGTCTGAACCGATTTTTCCCAATTTCAATGGGATTCGTCCTTGGGCCAAATAAATGAGCTGTGTCAAATTTCATCTAATTCGAATCAAAAATGCGACCTGTACTTTGTTTAAAATTTAACATGGACAGACGGACGGACGGACATGCATAAATCGACTTAAAAAGTGATTCTATGCATATTCTCCAAAGGGACCATGTGTCTATGTCGTTTGCTTTTGCAACTTACAAACATATGCACAAATGCATAATACCCTGTACCACAATGTGGTGAAGAGTATTCAAATCCACGTATTCATATCCTACACAACTATCTTGTCAGGGTATTATAGCTTTGTACAGTTTGAATAGTTGGTAACGCCGCAAAATATTGTTCATAGACCCACCTTTATGTATACCCATCGTTATATCTCGACTAGCTGAGTCGATCTACACATGTGTGTCCGTCCGTCTGTCCATTATAATTTGTAAACACGATACAGGCCACAGTTATGGACCAATCTTCACGAAATTTTGCGTGTAGGATGGATTCTGGTCAATGAAGACCCCTATTATTTATGGCAAAGATCGATTAATATTTCGGGGACGAAATGGACAAAAAACTTTAATTTTGTCTGAGTTTCTTGTCGTTCCAGAGGCCGCAATTATGACCTGAACATTGAGAAGGGGAAATTTTACATGGAGAAGGGGATCTGGCCAAAGAATAAGCATGCCTTTATTGATAAAGATCAGTTAAAATTTAGCGGGTCAAATAGACCCTGACTTTTGTGTGAAAAATGACAAAATTTTCTATTATATTTCGTATATATTTACTCCCGAAGAAGAGAGACCCGAGAAGTTGTTAGTATATCCAAGAGGAGTGGTTGACCTTTAAATTGATACCAATTATATCGTCGTATGTACTCGGATGTGGGAGTTACACTGAAATATTTACAGGTGCTTACCTATTCATATATTATTTAGTAACCCATTACCACACTAGAGGGCGGAAATATAGCGTTGATCGCTTCGACATTTTCTATGAGGATTCAGGTATGATCAAGGATAATGCCTATAATTTTCGTTGACGATCAGATAATAATTTTGGGGTGAGGTGGGCTGAAAACTTAATTTGTGTATGTTCTTTTTCGAGTCGATCTATAGGCCACAATTGAAAGCCGAACATCACAGCACAACCGATGGTGAGGGGGATATGGACAAATAATTAGAAGGACTGTACTGAATATTAGTAATATTCGGAAAATGTGTCAGTGTAAGGAAGAGGTACTGTGTTGACCTCTAATCGCTCATGAGGGTGCAACTATCACGAAATATTGCCCAGGCTCGGAATATCCGCAGAGAGTTATTCTTCCGTGGTAGTTGTGTAGGGTATCGTACGGTCGTTCGACTCCGTTCGACTATACTTTTCCGCTCACTTGTTTTTAAAATAATATTTTTAAACCAGGGAACGATGGAAGCATTTTCTGCTTTACTTCTGCAACGTAAATTGGTTCTAAAAACCCTCTAAATTTATTCGTTTCTACAAAATTTTCATTTTATATTTAGTTAAGAAAATTGATCAACATCATTGTCATGGTGTAGATCATTTTCGTCAATTGCAGGCCGGTATTCATGGTTAGGGGAATGACAGCGCCAATGGTTAGACCGCCAGCATTTTGAGACATCATTAACATCATCAGTAGCATTTTCCTCTCCGCCACCGGTAGTCTATACCAAATTACTTCCGTATAACAGGAATCGATAAAGCCATCGTTCTAGAAAATAAAAAAAAAAAAAATTAAAAATAAATAATTAAATGTTAATTTGTTTAATTATATGAATTATTCGTATCTGTTGCGAATATCTGCACTTACGGATATCTCAATCATAGTACCCAGACAACAGTAAACATGTAACATTATGAAGCAATAAGCCAAATAAGTTTGACCTCCCGGCCATTTACCCAATATCAAGCAGAACAAAGTGCAGGCCAAGCTTAGAGTCATGGTTGCAAACTGCACCATAATTACCCAGAAATAGTTTTCCTTTACGGTGCTTATGTATCTACAGGCAAAATGTAAAAAGGGATAACTAATATTTTCACACAAAAATAAGAGAACACAACCAAATTACCTCATATAATGTTGATGCCATTGCAGTATATCCTTTAGTAATTCTCTACAATTTTGATGGCCTTCGTTCTCATCGCCATCGCCATCATCATCATCATCGGCTTTTAGTTTGACATTCAGATCATGAAATTTACACAATAAAATATCCTTGAACAAGGGCACATGACTAACCAGGGTAAAGAAACAACTATCCGCAGCAAAATTGCCAAAGGCTCCAAAGAAAATACAACAACAATGCATAAAATTCATAATAATAAAACCATGATTGGTGTTCGGATCGATGCCCGGCAAAAGGAATTGCATAACAAAGACCCGCCGATTATAGAAAAGTCGAAAGAATGGCATTACCCCAATAACTCCAACAAGGAGACCTGCATAGACAACAGCCATGGATTTTATACATTTATCCACGGTATTAATGCTTTTGTTCAGACATTTGCGATATTCAACATGCTTCCGATCGTATTCCTCATAGATGGCCTCCAGAGTGCTAAGTAATTCAATTAAATATTTTTTATTCCAAATGGCATTCAAAAGTTTGCAAAAGCCCTGGAACGGAGAAACGGACCTCCAATGAAAGACATTTTATATGTTTCTATTCTCACCTGCACGGCACTACCCACCATACACAGGGCCTGCAGGACATTGGTCCATTCGCCTTCGACATACAGATTTACATAAATCGTATAGCCAGTAAATATATAAAAGAGATTTATGAAGGCGATAACAATCCACGTCAGCAGATTGACTTTATATTCCGGATCTAGGACATCTGCACCGCACAATGCCGAACACAGACGCAATATTCGAATAAGTAGTTTATAACGTTCTAGCACCGTTCTGGCCATGTCGTATTCGTGTTCCGTTTTAAGGCTAAACTTTAAATGCCAAGCGAACAGTGTTTGGCCGAAAAACAATTAGTCGGGAATTGACGCAAAACTAAAAATTTAATTGCAAATATATCTGACTGACAGCCTTTGATCGAACCGCCTGACATATGGATGATATGATAATTAGAAGATAATTTTGTTGCAAAAAAAAAAAAAAAAAAAAAATTGGGAAAAAAGCCTACGCTTGGTTAAATATTTAAAATAATATATATATATATATATATATATTTCAAGTGCTTGGTTAAGGCGTGGATTTTTTAAAGAACATTTTTTTCAAGTAGCCACCAAGGCGTGGATTTTTTAAAGAACATTTTTTTCAAGTAGCCACCAAGGCGTGGATTTTTTAAAGAATATTTTTTTCAAGTAGCCACCAAGGCGTAGATTTTTTAAAGAATATTTTTTTCAAGTAGCCACCAAGGCGTGGATTTTTTAAAGAATATTTTTTTGCAAGTAGCCCAGAAGGCGTGGACTTTTTAAAGAATTTTTTTTTAAAAAGGCGTGGATTTTTTTGTAGAGGCGTGGATTTTTTAAAGAATTTTTTTTTTCAAGAAAGCCAGTAAGGCGTGGATTTTTTAAAGAAGCAGTAGCCTTGAAGGCGTGGCTTTTTAAAGAATTTTTTTTTTAAAAAACCAAGGCGTGGATTTTTTAAAGAATTTTTTTTTTCAAGTAGCCACCAAGGCGTGGATTTTTTAAAGAATTTTTTTTTTCAAGTAGCCACCAAGGCGTGGATTTTTTAAAGAATATTTTTTTCAAGTAATATAAAGAATATTTTTTTCAAGTAGCCCAGAAGGCGTGGATTTTTTAAAGAATATTTTTTTCAAGTAGCCACCAAGGCGTGGATTTTTTAAAGAATATTTTTTTCAAGTAGCCACCAAGTCGTGGATTTTTTTTAAAGAATATTTTTTTCAAGTAGCCACCAAGGCGTGGATTTTTTAAAGAATATTTTTTTCAAGTAGCCACCAAGGCGTGGATTTTTTAAAGAATATTTTTTTCAAGTAGCCACCAAGGCGTGGATTTTTTAAAGAATTTTTTTTTTCAAGTAGCCACCAAGGCGTGGATTTTTTAAAGAATATTTTTTTCAAGTCTTCAAAAACAAGGCGTGGATTTTTTAAAGAATATTTTTTTCAAGTCTTCAGAACAAGGCGTGGATTTTTTAAAGAATATTTTTTTCAAGTAGCCACCAAGGCGTGGATTTTTTAAAGAATATTTTTTTCAAGTAGCCACCAAGGCGTGGATTTTTTAAAGAATATTTTTTTCAAGTAGCCCAGAAGGTGTGGATTTTTTAATAGTAGCCCATATTTTTTACTTTTTATAGTGGAATATAGGACATAAATCGGGGTTTATAATATTTTTAGAAGACCAAAAGGTCATCTATTTTTATTTAAGCATTTTATTAAAGAAATTATTTCACTAAGAATTAAGGACATATTATTCGATTAGTCAATAAAATTGATCAACATCATTGTCATGGTGTAAATCATCTTCGTTAATTGTAGACCGGTATTCATGGTAAGGGGTATGACCGCCCCAACGGTTAGTCCTCCGGTTTTTTGTGTCATCATTAACATCATACGGAGCATTTTTCTCTCGGCCACTGGCAGTTTATACCAAATGACTTGAGTGTAACAGAAATCGATGAAGTCATCGTTCTGCAAAATGGGAAAAAATGAATTATTTTTGTTTAAAATTAAAATTTAAAACAAATATATATATATATATATATATCCTTCTGGGCAACTTGAAAAAAGAAATATTCTTAAAAAAATATTCTTAAAAATATTCTTAAAAAATATTCTTTAGAAATCCTTGTAAAAAGGTCCTACAGAGTCGTAAAACATTTTCTGGCCTTGAGCTTGCCTATAAAGACTCACTGACTTACATCTGGACTACAAAGACTCCCTGACATGCAAGGCGCAGTCTATGACTCTTTGATCTACATGCTGTCTACAAAGCATCTATGGCCTGCAGGACACCTATAAAGTCTCCCGGGCCTTCGACTCGTCTATAAAGACTGGTTGGCTTCGTCTTCTTTAAAGATTGGTTAGCCTTCAGCTCTTTCGTTCGTCTATAAAGACACCCTTATTTTCAGCATGTCTATAGAAAACTCTAGACATTCAGATCATCTGTAGAAGCCCATTGACCTTTTTGTTTGTCTATAAAAAATCCGTCGCCTATTAAGACTTCAACTCGTCCGTAGGGTCAACCTTACCTCACCTCGTCTATAAGGACTGCCTGGCCATTAGCCATCTATGAAAGACTCCAGGCCTACAGCTCGTCTACAGAAGTCTCTCTGAGTCTCTCTGCAGGTCGCCTATTAAATCTCCTTGGCCTTCAACTAGTTTTTGGAAGACTACCTGCCTGCAGCACAACTGTAAATGAGTCAGCTTGTCCATAAACATGTCCTGGCCTTCAGCTCGTCTATAAGTCTTGTGGGCTACTAGAAGAAATATTGTTTAAAAAAATACAAGCCTTGTTGGTAAGCAGAAAAAGTATTCTCTAAAAATTCCACGCCTGGTTGGCAACTAGAAAAAATATTCGTTTAAAAAATCTATGCCTTCTAGGCTATCTGAAAAAAAAAAACAAATATTCTTTAAAAAATCCACGCCTCTGCAGAACCTTGGAAAAATATCCTGATCTTGTATCTTCAACTATACTCACAGTCACTTCAACCACTGTGCCCAGGCCACAGTAAATGTACAACATCATAAAACAGTAACACAAATACGTAAGACCTCCCGGCCATGTACCCAAAAGTAAACAGAAGAGAGTCGAAGCAATGCTCAAACCAAATGTTACCATTTCGACCAATAGAACCCAGAAGTAATTATCCTTAACAGTGGTGATATATCTAACAAAGAGAAAAACGAATTTTATTCCCATATTTTTTTGTTCACAACTCCCCACCCTCACCTCATGTACTTTTGATGCCATTGAAAGATGTCTCGGAGCAACGTTTTATAATCTCTGGGCTCCCTTTCTTTATTCTCCTCCTCCTCCTCAAGCAGATCATTTAAATCATGAAATTTACATGATAAAATATCCTTGAACAGTGGAAAATGACTGACAAAGGTGAAGAAACACAAATCGGCTGCAAAATTTCCAAATGCTCCAAATATTATACAAATGCAATGCATACAATTCATAATTATGTAACCATATTCGGTATTCGGATCTATGCCGGGCAACAAAAATTGCATTACAAAAACCCGTTGATTGTGGACGAGGCGATAGAATGGCACCACACCAATTATACCAACTACCACGGCGACATGGGAGATAGCCATGAATTTGATACATTTCACCGATAGGTTAATACTCTTCTGCAGGCATTCGCGATATTCATCATGCTTCTGAACATATTCGACATACATCTCACGCAATTCATCGACCAAATATCGTAATGCGTCCTTATTCCAAATGGCATTCAACAACTTGCAATAACCCTGCAAAAATTATTCAAATTTATTATTTCCCAGACTCCAGGATTTACTTCAGGGGATTTCGACCCACCTGCAAGGCACTACCCAAAAAACAGACAATCTGCAGCATAAGGGTCCAATCTCGTTCGATATAAAGATTCACATAGAGCGTATAGCCAGTAAAGGCAAAATATAAATTTATAAATGTCATAACAATCCATGTCAGGATGTTCATCTTGTAGGCGGGATTAAAAACATTCGCTCCACATACACCCGAACAGATTTTTATTAGACGCACAATTGCCTCATAACTGTCGACCACGTTCTTAGACATATTTTGTATTTTTTGGAAATCTCAAATTTCAAAATTCCCGAACTAATTCACATCGATGTAAGGCGTAGAGAACAAAACTGAATTATCGGCAGTATGTGAGAATATGCAATACCGCAAGAGGGGCAGAACATTTCGCAATAATTAGACCATCATGAATTTTTAACACCAAAATGTTGGCCATACTTTTTTGACATCTACAATTCAGGGTCAATACTTAATTATGCGGATTAAAAAAACAAATAGTATTTAAAATAATGTTAATCGTCCTCTAATGGTTTCGATTCCCAGGGGAAAATACCAAATGAAACTGCTTGGTTGGTTAATTGATTCACTTTGATATATATTTTTTTTTTAAATCTACGGCTACACGAACAAAATATTTTTTTACAAAATCCACGCCTCAGTGGTACCTTAAACAAATTTGTAGAAAATAGAAGCTTTGTCAGAATACATAATATCTCATGCCAGATCGTGCTCCCTTGAGCACACCAAGTTTACTCCAGAAAATTAATCAACATCATTGTCATGGTGTAGATCGTCTTGGTCAATTGTAGACCGGTATTCATGGTTAGCGGTATAACGGAACCAATTGTTAGGCCACCGGTATTTTGAGCCATCATCAGCATAATTTGTAACATTTTTTTCTCGGTTGCCGGAAGTTTATACCACATGACCTCGGTGTAACAGCATTCGATAATGTCATCATTCTGTAAGTGGACAAAATAAAATTACATCCTGTAAAGATTTCTGGGAAGTCAGTGAATCTATAAAAAATAGTATGTCCTTTAGTTTTCGGATATAAAACCCCCTCCTCACCCTCCAGCTTTCATATAAAGGCTCTCTGACTTTCATTTTCTCCATAATGGAGTCCTTGCCTATAAAGACTCTCTGACTTGCATCTAGACTACAAAGACTCCGTGACATGCAACCCGCAGTCTATGACTCTTTAACTTACAGGCTGTCTACAAAGCTTCTATGACCTGCAGGATGCCTATAAAGTCTCCCGGGCCTTCGACTCGTGTATAAACACGGGTTGGCCTCGTCTTCTTTAAAGATTGGTTAGCCTTCATCTCTATAGAAAACTCTAGACATTCAGATCATCCCTGGTCTTTCGTTCGTCTGATTTTCAGCATGTCTATAGACAACTCTAGGCTTTCAGACTTTCCTTGCTTAAGTTC